AAATAGGACAATTGTAAGTAATCAGTAAAATGAACAGGAATACTTCATGCCAACCATAAGATTTTTAGAGACATTTTCGCTTCTTAAATTAGAAGAGATAGAGGGATAAACTTGTACATACTACATAACTACTAGGCAACCAACCTTTAACTGCAGGAAAGCTGTTGGTATGTGCAATACAGTTACATAAAACCTCTTTAGTATTTATGTTAAGTTTAAGAAAGTACCTTGGTATTTTTTCTAGTGTTTGCCAACATTTTCATGCACACTGTTTGCTTGTTTGTACTATCATTTTATTTTAAATTCTTCAGATGCCCTTTACCTTTGCCAGTTTAGAATCATTTGTTTTAAGGGCATCTGAGGGTTGGTTCCAGAACTTAATTAATTGTAAAGTAAATACTGGGGTACTATACGGTCATAGGTTATGTTAATACATGTATAACATTTTGTTCTGATAGAGGTGGCATACAGGAAAAGAAACAATACTAGATATCACTTCAAAGGAATAAAACAGCTTCATCTTGTAGGTGTATTTTATTTAAGGATCACTACTTCATGTCTGATGTGCTGAAAGTCATTCATAATCTGTTTGACTGTAATTTTTCATATTTTCAACTTCTATCCAGCTTAGTCAATTTTGATTAAATTTTGTGCAAAGCATACCCCAGGAAGGGGGGATGGAGTGTCAAGTGTGTCTCTGTCAATATAATTTCAAAGCAGTTAGTAAGGTTTGGGTCAATTTTAAATCCTCTTTAGCAGAACCATTGGGCTAAAAACAATACTAATGTGAAAGCTTTATCATTAAGTGTAGAGATGTTTTTGAAGATTATGTACCCCTAATGTACTTATAGTGTTACATTAGAAGTCTAAAATTTGCAAGGAATAGGTGTAAAATCTTTTTTAAATCTCCTTCTTAACAATCAGAAACTAACATACTGTCTAATTAATATGCAACATCTTTTTGTGTGTTGAATGATGATTCCATTTTGATAACATTATGGCGGATGGGGGGGTAGGATGAAGATGCAGTTAGACATAGAAGAAAAAAGAGTTGATAGAATTAAGTTTTTCTTCCATTTTATTTATCAATAAATATTTCTGAATAAGAAATATACTTCTACTTCTTGACTGGGTTTGATCAACATAAAGGGTGATCTTGCTGTAGTAAAGAAAAACATGTTTTATACGGCAAAGAAATGTCTTTATCTAATTGCAGAATGAATAAAATGGACAGAGGTAGAACTGAAGGAGATGCATGAAATGAGGAATATTTCAAAGATTGCTGGAGCATAACCACTGCTACTGGATAAACATATGGCAATATAAAAGAGCAGGGTCAATGGAGGTATCATACAGTATAGGCCATGAGAGACCCTGAAGAAGAAAGTATTGAACAGAAACAAAAATAAAATAATTTTGACATTTATTGAAATATAGGATCAAAGTCTTACATGTAAAATTTGGGCATTTAATGACTTTTCTCTAGCTCTAAGACTTATAACAGTGATGATTTGATTTAATATCTTTATCCCGATTTGTCGAAAAGATTTGGACATTTTGGAAGATTTGGAGATTTGGAAAATATGCATTGTACATGTATCTGTAATAAACAGGATTATAGAAATTTTCCATATAATACAACACAATATTAGCAACTGAAGGCAAATATTTTATCAAGGGTGTGATCTATTTATCAATATGGTTTTCAGCATCTTGCTCTACCTGTTATGCCTTGCTCCAAGTTCCAATATTTAAATTTCAATTTTGCAAACATGGTTATAAAATTCTTTAAAAGCCAAATAGTTTAGGCACAAAATGCGTATATATTTCCTATCATTTGTAAAGTGTACACTGAATGAGATGTGGAATGTAAGAATTAAAGTTTTAAATATGTTTTGGACTTATGTATGCTTATGCAGATAAATTTGAATTCAACTAGGGAAGGTAAATGTCATACTTATTGGATTTGCAATCTAATGCAAGAGTATAAATATCCAAGTCAAATTTGACAATTTTAATGAAGGGTATAAGTAACCCAAGAAGAATTGGACAGGTAAACATCACCTGTTGGGTTTTATTCTAATGTTGGGATGTAATATCCAAGAAGAGTTGAACCAATGTCCAATACCTATTGGGTTTTCTTTCTTATGAAAAAAAAATTGAGTAACCCAAGAAGAATGTCCAATACCTTTTAGTTTATATACTATTGAAGGGATGAAGATATCCAAGAGGAACTGGACAGGTGTCCATTGCATGTTGGGTAGTATTCTGATGAGGGGATTCTCAAGAAACCCAAGAATTAGACAAGTGTCCATTGCCTGTTGGGTGGGATGTAGATATCCAAGAGGAGTTGGACGGATGTCCATTACCTGTTGGATGGTATTCTGATGAAACAATTCAAGAAACCCAAAAAGAATTGGACAAGTGTCCATTACCTGTTAGGTGGGATGTAGATATCCACGAGGAGTTGGACGGATGTCCATTACCTGTTGGATGGTATTCTGATGAAACAATTCAAGAAACCAAAGAAGAATTGGACAGGTGTCCATTACCTGTTGGGTTGTATTTTGATGATGCAATTCAAGAAACCCAAGAATTAGACAAGTGTCCATTGCCTGTTGGGTGGGATGTAGATATGCAAAAAGGAGTTGGACAGATGTCCATTACCTGTTGGGTGGTATTCTGATGAAACAATTCAAGAAACCCAAGAAGAATTGGACAAGTGTCCATTACCTGTTGGGTGGGATGTATATATCCAAGAGGAGTTGGACAGGTGTCCATTACCTGTTGGGTTATATTTTATGAGGAGATTAAGGAAACCCAAGAATTAGACAAGTGTCAATTGCCTGTTGGGTAGGATGTAGATATCCAAGAGGAGTTGGACAAATGTCCATAACCTGTTGGGTGGTATTCTAATGAAACAATTCAAGAAACCCAAGAAGAATTGGACAAGTGTCCATTACCTGTTGGGTGGGATGTAGATATCCAAGAGGAGTTGGACAGGTGTCCATTACCTGTTGGGTTGTATTTTGATGATGCAATTCAAGAAACCCAAGAATTAGACAAGTGTCCATTGCCTGTTGGGTGGGATGTATATATCCAAGAGGAGTTTTACCTGTTGGGTGGTATTCTAATGAAACAATTCAAGAAACCCAAGAAGAATTGGACAAGTGTCCATTACCTGTTGGGTGGGATGTAGATATCCAAGAGGAGTTGGGTTGTATTTTGATGAGGAGATTCAAGAAACCCAAATGGAATTGGACAATGTACACATGTTCAAATGTTCTTGGGTAGTTTAATCCCTTTTTCAAAATACAACCCAACAGGTATTGGACACCTGTCCAATGCCTGTTGGATACCTTCATTCTGTCCAACATGTAATGGGCATTTGCTTATCATTAATTGGTCATGACTCAAAAAGGTTTCTCCTTAAATACTTAATTTTGTTATTCAAGAAAGGTTGAACAGAGTCTGAGATGTGTTGTGTTTTCACAATTCAGGTTTTTTGCATTTAGATATTCATATATTTTAATATTAGATATTTTGAAATATACAGGTGTATATCCTTATATATTGCTAAGAACAAATTACTGCAGTAGTTAGGCGTTACATGTACAATAAAAGAGCTATATCACAGAAATTGACAAAAATATGGGTTAAAAACCAAAGGTTTTCAGTCTTGTCTGAATGTACCAGCAAATATTAAATATATAATAAGTTCGAAATGAATAAAAAACAATAAGAAAAAACCCAATAAAATACGGACAGGAGGATTAATATCCAGTAAGATTTAAACAGTAACTACCCAAATAATGCTCTCTCGTGTGTACACTTTTTTTGTATCCAATAAGCAGTATCCAATAGGACTTGGACTTGATGTACCCAATATATAACCAAATGTGTGTCCGTCCGTCCGTCCGTCTTTCTGTCTGTCTGTAACGCTTTCGTTTCCACACGATATCTCGAGAACCCTTTGAGCTTTTGCAATGAAATTTAGTATAGCAACTCCCTATGGACTAAAGAAGACCCCTATGGATTTTGAGGTCAAAAGGTCAAAGGTCAAGGTCATAAATAAGCAAATTCTGTCTGTTAAAACACTTTCGTTTCCACACGATATCTCTAGAACCATTTGAGCTATTGCAATGAAATTTTACATAACAACTCCCTGTGACCTAAAGAAGACCCCTATTGATTTTGAGGTCAAAAGGTCAAAGTTCAAGGTCGTAAATTTATACATTCTGTCTGTGTGTAACACTATCATTTCCGGGCGATATTTGAAGAAGATTTTGAGCTTATGCAATGTAATTTTATACCAAAACTCCCTAGGACGTCTCTCGCCCCTCTCAAAGTGCCCCGCCCCGTTTGTTTTATTAGTATTTATAGTATTACATGTCGCTATTTTTAGCGCAGGGGCATGAGGAGAGTTATTGCGTATAAAACAGGTTCTCGGCGGACTTTATGTTCTTATTACATCTATTAGAACTGTTTAATAAAGGCTAAATAAATCAAACACCATGGATTGTGTAAAATTTTGAGAATACCAAACATGAAAACATGAATATATACATGTATGTGACTTCAGTTCTGCATATACTTCACTCCATGTAAAGCGACTCCGTGGTCTAGTGGTTATGTCTCTCGCTTCAGATGTGAGAGGTCCCGGGATCGAATCTCGGTCGAACCTTTTTTTTTTTTTTTTTTTTTTTTAAATACTTTTTTTTTTTACTAAATGATAGTATTCAGCATGTGAAATGAAAAATTTATGAGGTTATAAAATCATCATTCAGTGTGATAAATATTCCATATAAAAAAAATCTTCTATACACATAATAAAGAATAAGCAATCAAATCTTTATATGTATATTGACATACATGTATTTTATTTCCTTCAGTATACATGTATACATTTAATAACTCTACAAATTCAGTCAGGGGGAGCCGACTTTTTCCCTAAGCGGGGGACACGAATTCTCTGAATTAGCTTGTTGACACTGTTTTCCAGATGGGTGTCTCCGATGGCGACAAGAAAGCTGCTTCCAAACCAAGGACCAAGTACTCACCTGAACAGGTATATAAGTATAGTGCTTAATGTATATTTCTTTTGCCGAGAACAATTTATGTCTGTAGTCATGTACACATGTACAATTGAAAATTGTATTTTCTTATATTATTAAAAAGCAATCAAAGTACTTTTATATGGAATAGCCGATCAAGAAATTTTTTAGGGCAATTCAGATCAGAGCAAAATATGAATACGTAATAAACCTTTGAGGCTAAAATGTGAGTGGAGTGTATCCGTAACGAAAAAAGCGCTTTTGTAATAGTTCACTTTAGTTACCTTTAGTAAATCAACGTTTTCACTATAATAAATCTAAGTAATATTATTTCGAATTAAAGACGGATATTTTTAATTCCTACTTGTGTTTCAGATCATAAAAAGACTTATACCTTGTATATTTACATTTTTTTTGAAATTACATTTTAGGTAAACCTGTATGTAATTTAAGAAATATTAACGCTATAAATCTTCAAAAAAATTCTAAATTAACTTTCATGATAGTATATCAAAGTATAAAATATAATAGTTAGTTAACTAAAGTAATCTATGATAAACTAGTAAATTTTTGTTAGGGATTTCTAAAGGACGGGGTTGAGGGTTTCATAGGAGCGTCCCCAGTAATTTCTTTTAGTGACAAGTATATACATGTATCATATGAAATCTGACGGGATGCCGATACTACTCGGTACCGTTACATATTGTAGGTCTGCATTTCTGAAGAAATACTTGATGTGAATATATTGAATATATGTACATAAGGCACATCACAAACACAAAATGGATTCAGACTAAATGGTGTTACATTCAAAATACATGTAATTTAATTATATCAACTTTCAGGAAATTACAAAGTTCAAAATTATGATATTGATTTTTATATCAATTATTACTTTATTTAACTAAAACAAAAAGAAAAAACTATCTATGAAAAAAATATCATTTTCCCTTGCAATTTCTTGAAATGAAGGTAACATTGTCGATTTCCTTTTCAGCTGGAGTTGCTAGAGGGCGCTTTCTGTAATTCCCAATACCCCGACACAGAGACCTTAGAAGACTTGGCAGATAAATTAGAGATCACTACAGATAAAGTTTCGGTAAGAATTACATTGATTTTATTTCAATATCTTAAAAGAAGTATATAACTATATAGTTATTATTTTGGCGCATTTTTTTTTTGAAAGAAAGTAAATCTAAAATATGTGAAATAATGTGAGAACACATGAATTTTAAAAATGTATTTTGATTCTTTAGTAATTACTTCTATGATAACATACAATGGGTTTTGTTTTACATTTTGATGTTGCTGGAAAAAAAACCATGCAAATGACATAGTTGACATAGTTTATAAATTATGACCAAGGATAATTCCAACTTATGCCTATATATTATAAATCTATTTTAAACAAGAAAATTCAAAGTATTGTTGTCCCCCACTTTCGGTGTTTTTTGGGGGTAAAATGGGGGTAAATTGTCATTTCTTATGAGATATTTTGTCAAATTTGTCATTCAGAAGCTAGCTCTCACCGAAGTTGATTTTTTTCAAATTAGTTCAGTCATGAAGGTCAAGGTTCAGGGGTGAGAAATCATAGCATGCTCTGAAATATCTTGTCACAGGTAATGCACATGTCAAATATATAGATAAGCACTATCTCTTCTTAATAAAAAGTTATAAGGAGGAATTAACATTTTTGAAAAGTAGGTCAAACTTCAAGGTCAGAGTCAAGGTCACAAGATAAAAAGTCATAGTGTAGTTAGAAAGGACTTGTCACAGGCAATACACAGGTATAATATGAAAGCCTTATCTCTTCTCATTAAAATGTCATGATCAAGGTTAAACTTTTTGAAAAGTAGGTCAAAGTCATGGCCAAGGTCAAGAGTTTAGATATTATAGTGTATTTTAAAAGGATTTGTCAAAGGTAATGGGAGTTCTGGGAAAAAAATTAAATTGTGAAAACTCAAAAGCAACTTTAGGTATCGCCCGAAAATGGCAGTTTTACAAACATTCAGAATGTAAAAATTTACGACATTGACCTTTGACGTTATCACCTGAAAATATATCGGCATCTTCCTTAAGTCCAAGGGAAAAGTGGAAAATAATTTAACTGTACAAGATCAAAATTTATGACTTTGACCTTTTTACCTCAAAATTAACAGAGGTCTTCCTAAGACCATAGGGGGTTGCTGTGTACAGTTTCATTGCAAAAGTTTCACAAGATTTCGTTCGGAAACGAAAGTTAACCAGATAGACAGCTAGACAGACGCCGTCTGTCAGATGGAGCAACAATTATATCCCCTTCTTTCCGTGATAGTGGGAACACAAAACACTATTTGTGAAAAGTTGGACACATTTCGATAAAAATAAACCATTCCTGAATCTTTAAAGAGGGTTATATTAATCTGAAAACGATAAACATGTATTATTTGTTGGTTTTTCTATGGACAAAAGACTTGAGCATGGCGAAGCATGACATTCTCTTATCAGATATTTACTTACATACATTAAATAATATAATTATACTTTCATGTAAATTAGTTGAATCTGATTGGTCGAGAAACATTTGTTTAAAAACACTATTACCCGCTGAATAATGAAGCCACGCCCTCCAGCGTAGCAACAGTCAACATTGCTTGACGACGGGTGATATTCCAAAAATTAAAAATAGCGACTGCGCAGAATTTATGCGCGCACAGTTCACTGTTATATGTATATAAAACATTCAATATTGCATGTAGTTGTGTGTAACATTGAAATATTTCACCCCTCGAAAACCATTGTCAATCTCGGCTGCGCCTCGGGGGGAAAATTTTCAATGTTACACTCAACTACATGCAATATCTATATAATGGTAACGTCATGTTAATCCTGATGGAATTTTGATAATGAGAAATACCAAAATAAGTTTATACTTATTGATAACGAAGATGAATAAGAAATGGACGATATGCTTATGCTAATACAGTAAATCATGATTTTTTTATAGGTTTGGTTCCAGAACAGACGTTCAAAGTTCAAGAGGCAATCCAAGGATTCCCATGTTGCCTGGATGCGGAAACAGTTTTACAACACAGACATGCGCAGTTCTTGTCAGCTGGTCCCCGGTGATGGAAAACAACACGTGTTGTCGCCACCAAACCAGATACGGGAAGTAACGGAGAACACAGTATCCAGACCGGTTTCCAAGTAAGTCATATTATACTATAGAATACATGTGCATGTAATTATATATAATATTAAGGGGTAACGAACCTCTGATAAGATAGATAACTTTCAAAGTACAAAATGTGGATATTACTAACAGTTTTCTTAATTAGAATTTCCTAATTGAGACCTCTGAGTAGTAAATTCGATGAAATCTAACATATGATGGAAACATTACTTTCTATTTCCTTTGTCAATTTCTTTGTTATTGTTTTATTATATTAATAAAACATTAAATTCCAACTTCAAAAGCCTTATAAATTGAATAAGTTGTATCTTTTTAAGGACCATTTTAAAATTGGTTTAATTAATGTTTTAAGTACTTAATACAGCATTATTGTTAGTATGACATTTTTTTCACAAGACGAAATATTTCATTGTATTCATAAGAAAGATAACTCCTCCTCACAGATTTATTTTTTTCTTACAACCACATACAACATTGTGATTTTCTGACTTAGGAAGCATCGCTACATGATCTTAATAGGTATGACACTAAGTATTATTTTCTTATGCACCGCATATTTTAAATTTAATGTTGTGATAATACATCATTACTCTTTCTGTTCCCTGTGTTCAATTTCTTCATGTCATGATCTGACATAAAAATCATTTCTGAAACAATAAGCAGCGCTTTATTCTTCAAACTAATTTCCATGTGACTCTAATGCTATTGTTCTTTATGAAAATCGATATTACAAAGTCTAAATTTTCCAAAGTGAAATTTATAGCAGAAGGTCGGGACCCCTTAAAATGCAAAATACTAAAAAACGTAATTGAACCCGTTGAATCTGAAAATTCTAACTTAAAATTGATGATTTTTAGTAGTGTGTATATAAAGTTTAAGTTTCCGTATGAATTAAAGAAACAACAGCACTCCATTTAATTTCAATTTAATCACCCAAAACAAAAATATTCGAACAAGGGGTACATGTACATTAAATTGTGCATTTGATACAATACATTTCAAACAAAACGATGTTACAGGTACACCAGGCACACTTTCTCTATTACATTTGTACATGTACTATCCAAATATCATAGTGAAGTGTTATTTATTTAATTCTTTTATTATTTTTTTCTAGCTTACACTACATGCCCTATATCCATCCGGACAGCAACCCCAGCCTTGACCACCAGAAAACTGCAGCCTCGTTTCAGCGTAGACCCTGTCAATTTCCGTTTCCGGTTTCATGTGGACCCATCCCTTCAACACACAGTTTTTGGGACCAAATGGACGTTCAGCAAAGAAATAAGATCCTGTCTCACCTGATGTCGGAACAAGCGGAACAGCAACAGGCCTTCTCCAGACCCAGCTGTCAGTACACCACGAGTGTTCCTCAGTTTCCACCGTCGTATAACGTTCCCTCCCTTGCCGTGTCCAGTGGGTTTGGATTCTGATTCCCGGTTGGCAGATCTTCCTTACTGGAAATCAAATATCAAGAACTGAACAAACACAGATACCTGTGCTCTTTTCTGATTGTTGAACGTTGATGATTAAATGAATATTCATGGACTCTAAAAACTCTCGTGTAACTGTGTGCACTAACAACATACCTAATGTAAAATTCAGTGCAAAGATGTGAAAACGACGGTTTTTGCAGTGTAAATCCCATCTGTTATATATGATTTCAAAACAAAGGTGCTATTTTTGTAAATAAAATTAATTTTGTAATTTTGTATTAATAAAATGGTACATGTAGGTTGCATGTATTTGGTTTTTTTTATTTAGCCGAGTTCCTGAAAAATATTACCTTTAGATTAAAAAAATTGAAATATGCAGATTGTAATACATGTAAAGGTACTTGGTTGAGTCAAGAGTACCAAATTTTTGTCATCACTTTCGCTAAAATTGGGGATAATAATTTTGAAGTGTCCTAAAGATGTCTATCTGTTTGGCTGTCGTAATTTGATTTCTGTCTCCAGTTTGTTAAATAAAAAAAATTGAGACTTCAGCATGAAAAAAAACTAGAATGAAAAGTTTTGAAGTCTCTGGTTATTATATCCTGCAATATCATCATAAGCGAAAGTTGTTAAATATTGTCTATAGTCACAAAATGTCGAGAGGTAAATTAGCGAGGATTAGAATATTGCTTTACCATCAGGAGACATGAATACGTCTAAATTATTTTATATCCTTGAAAATAAAAAATAAGTTTCTAGATGCGAACTATATCTAAATGAAATGGGTTCACAATTGATAATATACTGGCTTGAAGCGGGGGTGGTGCCTGAAATTGGCTTTAGGTGTGTTGTGGTAGCCAACTCTACTTTTGGAATATGATTGGTTGCGTTCTGAAGCAAGCAATATAATATCAGAATATGATATTAACATGTAGAAAGACTGACGGTCAAAAACGCAACTTTTTTCTGAAAAAAAAACGTGCAAAACTTTTTTTAATCATTTTCAAAGTAGATCATATTTTTGAAATGTGACTATGAGTGTCTTCAAGATAAGGCTTTAAAATACCAACAGTTTATTGAATACTACCTCCCGATATTTAAGTAAAGCTATGAGGCTACACAATTGAACAACTCTCCAGTGAGGAGATACATTTAAGTTAAGTAATAGAGTATGTAGTGCATCATTGTATTTTTTTCATTCGGTATTCCTTGTTGATGAGGTATGGAAATAATATCATAATGATAAATCCATATGTTGGCCATAACATACTGTATATCATGTTTTTTCCTCGAATCAGAACCTAAATCAGTATATTAAATTTACGCGAATTTAATTTTCACTATTTCAAAGCCTCAGTGATTGAATCGATCGACCTTCACCTCGTCAATTCCGGTAGACCCGTACTAACTCTCAAATCCCCACACACTATTTTTTAAGATTTAAACAATAATAAGTCATTTACTGTTCCAAACTGACGAGCAGCTCATGTATAATCAGAATGGGTTCTCGCAGGGAACTGACGTGACCAATATAATTAGCTAGCTTGTCAATGAGTAAACAAACAATAGGGCTTATACCTATTACCGTTATCTTGCGCTTGTCCTCTGATCCCGCTATTTCTACTCTCTACGATATAAGCATTAAGAAATAACTCTACTACAAGAAGAAAACTTTGTATCAAATTTACGCTGTTTTATTTTCGATGATTCAGAACTCGTCACGGACAAAGCGGAAATTGGATACACGCGGAAAAATCCTGATACATGTATACGGTAGTATTATGGAGGCAAACAACAGAACAACAGAAGTTTCAACAATAATTTTATAACGGAATAAATATAAAACAGATGACTGCCTTGATGACTAAATAATATAATATTGGTGGTACAGTACAGTTGGTTAGGTCGGACGTCACATAATTATATAGTATAAGGCCACACCAATAAAATGTTTTGTTCGTCGGACCCGCGCGCTCGTATTTAAACAAAACTTATCAAATAATATTAATTTAAAATTCCCGCACCATGGAAATTCTGAGCTATCTTCTGCTCAATTTCCGCTCTATATATCGTACTTTTAATCTACTTACTCTACAAATAAAAAAAATATAATTGTCCGCTCAAATTTTTTACACGTCCCGCCTAAATATTTAAACGCGAGCCCGCTCGTACTTTTTTCCGACGAACAAGAAATTAAATTGGTGTGGCCTAATATATGTATATAGGATAAACTGCTAGACATGCGCAATGCACCCAAATTTTCCAACAAAGAAAGTAAAATGGCAGGCGATACAATAAAACATAAAACAAAAGGGAACAAACCCTAAAAATACTAAACATATGACGTCAAATCGTGAAACGAATATTACATGAATAAACAAATATATAAATAAATACACTTTGCGTATAACTTAATTAACAATAAATAGATAATAACAATCCAGGACGGAGCACAGAAACTTTACCCATCCACACTTAATAAATAAGATTTTTATGTTCCAAAAAGGAAAAAGAAATCTGGATTAATATTAGCACTCGACAAAATTCTTCAGTATTTTGGCAACCGCATGGACCATGACACAAATGTAAATGTAGTGTTGGCCATGCATGATTTTCGACCTAAAATTTCTTTGTGGTTTTTTTTTGTATGTGTGTCTTCTTGAGACGTAAACGCAAGGAAATAGATAACAAATAAGAGTTTATCCCTATTTCCGTGCGCTGTGTTTTCTTTGCTTTTATTTCTCTCTTTTGCGGCATATGTATTCTTTTTTCTTTTCACACATCTTACAATTGTACAACAGAATATTAATACTTTTCACTCTGAAACTAAGGCAGACCAAGAAATACATTTGAATTTACCATAAAAACATCTTTTTACAAAATAAATTCAAAATGTTGACATAGCTAATCTATAGAGCATTGTTATACAGGGAAAAGCTATAAAACAATTTCTTCTTCCACTCACCCTTTTTTTATACCCCGTAAACGAAGTTTCGGGGTAAATAGTTTTTGTCGTGTCCGTCCGTCTGTCTAGCAGTCTGTTTGTCTCTCTGTTTGTCTGTTTGTCTGCAAAAACTTTAACCTTGCCCATAACTTTTGATTTAGTGGATCTATGACTTTCACATTTCACATGTGTATTCCTTGAGAAAGACTTTTCTTTGGGTACCACCAAATTCGACCTTTTGACCTTGACCTTGGAGTTTGACACACTTTTACACAAAAATTCCAACCTTTTACTTTTGCTATATTTTTTAACAGTAGGTACCAGGACATTTATACCTCATATATGAATTTTTTGTTGAAAGACCTTTCATTGGGTACCAACAACCTTGACCTTGGAAATTTCCGTACTTGTGAAAAACCTTTAATATTGCCCATAACTTTTGAACGGTAAGGGATGGGGCTTTTATATTTCATTTATGTAATCCTTGTGAAAAAACCCTTCATTGGATACCAAGAACATTGACCTTTTGACCTTGATATTGGAGTTTGACCTACTTTTGAAAAACAACATTGACCATATTTTTTAAGGGTTAGGGTAAGGGCTTTCATACTTCACATATTTAATCCTTGTGACAAGACCTTTCATTTCATAAGAATTTTGATCCTTTGACCTTAGAGTTTGACCTACTTTTTAAAAATTTTAACCTGGGCCATTTTGAACTGTTAGGACTAGGACTTCCATACTTTACATATGTACTTGTTGTGGCAAGACCTTTCATTGGATACCAATGATCTTGAAGATTTCCGTATTTATGAAAAAAAACTTTAACCTTGGCCTACTTTCAAATTTCACAATTGTATTTCTAGTGAGAATACCCTACTCTTGGTACCAATATATCAAATATGCATTTAAGAAAAGTTTAATCCTTCCTATGTTGCCATACGGGGGCATTAGTGTTTCACAAACACATCTTTCTTTTTTTTTTTTTTTGAAGTGTGGAAAAACAAAATTCCTTTTTAAGAAACTTTAAAGAGATAAAATTGTTAGAAATGTAATTTTATAAATGGCTTTGCGTTATACGTTATCTTGAGTAAGGTCAAGTTCTTTTTGAGAAATTTTGTCCCTAAGAGCTTTTTTCTTTTGACAGAATAACTGAACATATTTTTTCTCAATGTTAAGCCCTTCCCCTTTAAAGTTTCCTTGAAGTGAAAATACCAATGCTTTAGTTATGCAGTAAAATGCATTTGAAATGTCTCCATCTAAGTCATAAACTCTTGTTTTTGCAATAAAGAAAAACATTTTCCACCTAACTTCCATTTTATCCCAATATTTCTCCCGTATTTTCTTAAGAATTTTACTGGCCTTTACTTTGTTTTCATTAGTAACAATAATTTCTGGTATCTGATTCCCGAAAACTCCAATGCCAAGGTTTACAAGGGCAATTTTTGTCAAAACCATTCTTTTAAAGTCTTCGGCCATATTTACATCTTCTCTCCCAAAATGATTAATTGCTTCACTGGCTATTTTCAGTAGCGTTTTTCTTTCTTGTTCTGTAGGTTCTTTTTCATATTTACTAGATAACATGTTAAAGTAAATGTATAGCACAATTCCAGTTTCTCGACACCCCGGTATTACTTCAAAACGGCTCAAGGCCTCTTCAACTTCATATATACTTTCATCCAGTGACATCCCCGCTAAAAGTTTTGCGGAGCCATGTCTGGCAAAGTACATCATGTATGACAGATATGGTTCAGAAGTCATGGCCGAGACGTTTTTGACTTTGGTGAAAAGAAGTTCATCTTTGATAAGCGTGCGATCACAAATTACTCGACGATGTTCAAGCTGAGCATCCAAAGTCATGAAATACATATCTGCCAAGTGTCGAAGTTCTTTTGTATTTTCACTATTGTTTCTAATGTAAGGTATTTCCGACTCCCACTTATCTGCCCAAAACTTGATCAATGAATTAAATTTTTGTATTTTCCCTTTATGTGACAATAATTTTAGTTGATGTCGTAAAGGAACAGAATTTTCTCGTCTATATTTCGTGAAAATCTTTAATTTCCCTGGTTCTTGTATGCTTTCCGAACCAAATTTTTTAAGAGACTTGGAATAAAACTTTTCCACTAAGAAGCCATGGTCTTTCTCCAGAATTTCCAAGAAAGATTTTATTTTATCCGGCATTTTCAGAAATTCGTTCAAAAGATTTTCACAACATTGTGCGCGAACAGAACTCATGATGCTTTCTTCCATCTGTTTCGGTGTGATAAGTCTTTGCTGTACGAGCTCTCCTTGTATAATTCTGGGGTCTATAGTATCCCGGAAATCAGTATAGCAATCAAGTAAAACCTCGTAATACTTATTCATGATATTTACATGTGCATCTCATGCATTTAATTTGTCAGTTTTTTCCCCTCTTCTTTTTAAAGATCTTGATGGAATTCTAGAAGCATTGTTCACTGTAATACAAAAAGTATGCATGTGTATTACTTTAAATCAAAAAGGAGAATAATAGAAGTAAAGTCTTCAAACCTGTTAATAAAGGTACTATCTGGAAAAAGTTAGAAATGAAAACTAAAAAAAAAAATTCCGGAAATGAAATGCAGCCAATTCATCATTCACTAGTTTTTCAAGGTTTTATTCAAACAATAGACCCACGCGGGCCACAATGCTAATCTGAGTCACAAAAGCCCTGTTGTTCTTCATCAGCATATTTTCATCTGAGGTAAGGTAAATGTGTATACATTTTGTACTACACAGCCCTTTTACAATATGATAAAATGCGAGGTGTTTTAAAAGAGAAATTATTGATTCTTGTATAGACATTGAATTGAATACAATTTAAGCACTTATAAGGGGGGGGGGGGGGGGGTGACCTTACGTTTTTAGGTAACCTGAGTAAACTCAGGTGACCTATTGCTATCTGTTTTCGTCCGTCGTCGTGCGTCGTCCGTCGTCCGTCGTCCGTCGTGCGTTAACATTTGAACATTTTCAGCTTCATCTCTGCAACCACTGAACCAATTTCAACCAAATTTGGCACAAAGCATCTATGGGTAAAGGGGAACAAAATTGTGAATTTCATGATCCCTGCCCCCCTGGGGCCTGAGGGGTGGGGCCAAAACCACTAAAATTAATGCAATCTTTAAAAATCTTCTCCTTTACTCATGGACATCAAGCAGTCAATCTGTTTGCATGATTGTAATCAGCAAGGGTGCCTCTACCAAAATTGTGAAATTCATGGCCCTGGGGTCAGGGATTCTAGTGCTAGGGCGGGGCTAAATAAGTAGGTAGTGAAAATGCATTATTTCTTTGAAAATCTTCTTGTCTGCTCCTGGGTATTAAATAAACCAACTAAGTACATAGTTATGATGAGCAAGAGTGCCTCTACCAAAATTGTGAATTTTATGGCCCCAGGGTCAGGGGTTCTGGTGTTAGAGCGGGGCTCTATTGATTATATAGTGAAAATACATGAATTCTTTGAAAATCTTCTTCTCTGCTCCTGGGTATTAAATAAACTAACTAAGTACATAGTTATGATGACCAAGAGTGCTTCTACCAAAATTGTGAATTTTATGGGCCCAGGGTCAGGGGTTCTTGTTTTAGGGTGGGGCTCTAATGATTATATAGTGAAATGCATGAATTCTTTGAACATCTTATCCTTTGCTCCTGGTTAATATACTAATGATCTAATTACATATTTAAGGTCAGGATTTATTTTATTTTCAGTTTTACAAACCCTCCGCTCAAGGTTTTGAATTTTCAGAAAAAAAATAAAACAATTGTCAAATTTGAGTCGGGATCGAGATTTCAAATTTACGAACTCGCACTTCCGGTTTTAAGATGACACGGCGGGTAAATAAAGCTAGATCTGACAAGATAGCTTGGTTTAGTGTAAAATTCATCGATACGAGTGCCATTCAAAACGTTTCACCCGTTCAAAGGAAAAAAAAAATGCTGACGACTTTGTTGCACAATGACATGCTGGTGAGATAATTATGTATTCGTTTCAAAAGTATATGTCTGTAAATTTTTTTCCTCCCCCAGGTTTTAAACTGCCCGTGGTAGCTATTGCATATTGCCAGCGACATTGTTTAGGTCTCTGTTATAGCTTACAGTCTAAGCATCATTCTTCGGAAATGGGTTGCTTATGCATCAGATGTAATGAATAAAACTATGGGAGAAGTTAAGTCCATTTGAGGAAGAAATAAACAATAACCTGAAGAAATTTAAAAAAATTCAACTATTAAAAGGCAAGAATATACAAATATATACAGGCATGTAGTATCATTTGTATCAGCCAGAAAACTTATTTAAAATGTTCACCCTACTCCCCAATACTGGACCGTCTGTTTTATGATAGGAATTATAATTTTAGGCATCAAGTAAATTTTAGAACAAAGTCTACACATTCACCTAACACATATTAAAAAAATGAAGATATATTGAAAGACTTTTAAAGAATTGATTTTTTAAAATATACTTTGACCAACATCACAAAATTTATATAAATGGCCCAAACTACCCAAACTGGCAGATATGAAATAAGCAATTAAATGTTCTACTTTCCTATTTGTAAGCATTATGTGTCCAGTGGTAAGGAGCCTATTAGAATAGCATAAAAAAAAGAATGTACAAATGTTAATAATTGATTTATCAAATTTTTTTTTTTATTTCCTTCTCATTTGGGACTTTTTTATTCTCATGTTCATAACTAAACCTAAACATAAAAAAATGCTGGCCTCATAATGAAGAAAGGGCCTCTTTCAAAATAGATAATTTCAGGGCCGCTGGGTCAGGGGTACCAGGGGGGTACTAAAAATAAATTAATGCTTTGAAATCTGCCTTTGATAAGCAATGGTGCCTCCTTCAAAATTTGTGAATTTCATGGCTTTTGGATTAAAACACGAACCAAATACAATCACTGGAAACTTGTTACATGATAATCAGGTGACCTATAAGGCCCGTGGGCCTCTTGTTCCAAGAATAAGCTTTTACAAGTTTAAAATATAAGTAAATAAAAAAAATTATATTGAAAGATTCTAACAGTAGCGTTTGTAATTTTTTTTCAAAGATGGATCATGTTTTTCCTCCCATTTATTTGTACTGTATCTTTTATCATTTACCTGTTTTTTTTTTTTTTTTTTTTTTTTGAATGATATTTTTCCTTCATCATTAATTTGTTTGAACCCTAATATAAAACGTCCAAACCAAGACACCATAAAGAGTAAATAGAGGATATTCAATGTTTTGTAGTTGAATATGGAATTTATTTCACGAGTGGGACAGGATTTTTGATATTTTCACGAGTGCGAAGCACGAGTGAAAATATCAAAAAATCCTGTCTCACGAGTGAAATAAATTCTATACTGTAGATTCGTTATTTTTCGCGAGTACTTTTTATCGTGAACTGGCTCTTAAACGTCAAATCGCGAGAATTATAATTCACAAATGGAGGGTTGATCAATAGATTTTACATAGATTTCAGCATTTTTAAAATAAAAGCGCGTAATATTTTTTCGCGAGTGATGCTTTTCGCGAAATTACGCGGAAATTAATTCCTCACGTGTAACTAGGAATCTACAGTATTCAACTACAAAACATTGAATTTTCTATTTATTACATTTTAAAAAAAAAATTCTTTGATTTTTCTTTTGCATCTGTCTTTTTGTAATACAGTCATTAGGCTCGTGACGTCAGAGTTGAACGGTTGAGACGTCATAGCTAAGTGAGATGAAAACACTGTAAACATAGATTTAGCAACATATTTTTGGTAATTTTGACAGTTTTATTCGCTGTCAGAATGGTTTATTTATTTTCATCTATCTTATATTAGGCCAAGGAAGTTTTTTTTACAGCAATCTTCCTTATGGGAAGGGAAATCGAGAATTTTCCCGCACTTCTGATATTCGTCACACTGTGACAGGATATCATTTTGATATCCTTTCACACTGTGACAGGATATCATTTTTATTTAATGAATAAATTATAGTATTTCACGGGTAAAAATGTAATAAAGGAGTTTTGGGGATAAATAGATAATTAATATTTTGTCATACCAACAATATTTGCCAGATATTTCACCATTTGACTTGTTCCATTTTCCAAATTTGACTAAAACACCTTTCAGAAAGAAGAAACAAGTCTAGGAAATCATAAGATCTGCCATATTCCAGTATACGAAGGGCCATACTCAAAGATGCGTTCTAAAAACAATTATCAGAAATTGGATAAAATGTTACGGACATGTGTTTTAATTAAAATAGAATATTTAAGTGAAATCATAAAGACTAAATGATTGAAAAAAAAGCTTTTTGTCTCTCTCTGAGCACCGAGGACATCATTTATTGAACAGCCCTCATATATGACAACGTTCTAAAGATAGCTCAAAACGTTCCATTCAAATTTTACTTCAATATACGCTTCATTGTTAGAATAGTTAAAATAAAAGAACTATCTAAGTTATTGGTAATATACATAACTTACTTGATATTTATTTCATTTAAAGATCCGCCGGCCTCCTGGGCACACTAGAGAGTCCTCTCTGAAATAATGAACATCATCGATAACTACATATGCAGTATGGCGTAATGCAATGGATGGGTTTTTCCTATCTTATGAAATTCCATTTTGCTGATCAATACTAACTCTATTTTTGGTGACTGAAGATGAATTGAAGCGATCAGCATTGATTTTTTTTTAATAAAACCATCGGGCTGCTTGAGCAAAACTATTTTTTACATTTAAAATCCGTGATAAATAATATATCTGAGTAATAAATAACCACCCCTATATCCAAAATCATTCAACCATTGACCACTTTAGTTATTGCGCTTGCAAATTGCATTGTATACATGAAATCGGCATTGCTTTGCATCGTGGTGTATTTAAAAAAATCCGCGTAATGGTTTTTATTTTAGTCGTCCATAGAAATAACTTAATTTTTTTATTTTCCATACATGTATTTAGCAATTAGAAGATAGACAAATTATCAAAGTCATAATATTAGTCCAGTAGTACACATTTATTACTTCTACATATTTAAGGAATTTTGATCATGAGTTGTAAGTCCATCAATTAATACATATATTATTTACATTAAACTAAGCCCTGATTTCATTTTCACAATAATGTCCCTTATTTCAACAAAGGGAAGGTCAAGCATCGATAACTTACTTTGACACACTAAGGATTTTTTTTTTATCAAAACATTGGAAAAAACGTGCACTAGTCTAGAAAGAAATTGATACTTACCCTAAAATGTCTGTTTACACATTTATCGGTTCTGCATAGACCTATTACTTTCATTATACATGTAACTCTTTAGTTTTTCTCACTTCAGCCTCTCCTTTTGGATGATGATTAAGTTC